AGAAAATACAGGTAACTGATTTAAAGGAAGCTAATGTTTTAATAGGGAAACTTATGATGGCAATATTTGACCTTAAGACCCATGTTTGACATTTAAAATATTTTCTGTAACTCAGTGAGTGTTACATGGTTATGTTTATTCCAAGATTTGGTCATGTGTCCTCCTGTTGGCATCCAAAAGTGGATACGACAAAACAGACAATAGGTGGCAGTATAGTAAAATGTAGTATTAATATTGGTCATCAATACCAATGCATTAACTTTTTAAATCTAACTTTTTTATACAGGTCTTAGTGGCAGGATTAATCTCATAGCCCTCTTCACAATCACACTTGTAGCTGCCTGGCAGGTTGATGCAAATCTGAATGCAAGTGTCCGGCTCAGTGCATTCATCAATGTCTGCAAACAAACAAATAGAAGAAAGAACTTGGCATCTTTGGATTCTTAAAAAAAGGAGTTTCTAATAAACTTTCTTAAATCACATGTTTATGACCCATGGCCTGCTTGTTAGGGTGCAGAAATGTGTCTGTTCTCTCACCTTCACAGGTTTTGTTGTCTGCTTTTAACCTGTATCCAGCAGGGCATGAGCAGTTGTATCCAATCTTTAGATCGTTGCAGTGGTGAGAGCATCCGCCATTTCCAGTCAAACACTCGTTTTTGCCTGTAGAGACAAAGAGGCAGAAATATTTTAAATAATATTCATGAACAAAAGATGATTATCCAACTGAAAACTCACATGCAGAAGCCTTGCTAATGCGTTTCTGAACATAACAATCAATGATCAGTAATATTTAGATACGTGACACATAAAAAACATTTATTTAATCTAACACCGCATCTTTAGTAAGTCTGCTCTTTAGCAAGCACCACTTCTTGTATGGTGCCTGACAACATCGGGACATGCTATTAATGAGATGACTGATGTCATCTGGTATCTCCTCACAGATCTGGACCAGGGCATCACTCAGCTCCTGGTCAGTCAGAGGTGCAGTATGGCTGTGTTGGATGAACTGAATCATAATATCTCCAGAGCTGTTCTATAAGATTTAGGTCAGGTGAACATGGGGGCCAGTCAGTGGTATCAATTCCTTCATCATCCAGGATCTGTCTGTTTACTATCACCGCATGAGGCCAGGCATGCACCAGGACCCCACAGCAGTGGTGTCCATGGTCTGACCCACTGTCAACCCTTACTCTGACAAAAAGACCAAGGATTCCATTGTGATGCCTCAAGAGAGGCAGGGTGCCATTGCCAAGTTTGTGGTCTGTGCATCCCTTCATGGATATGCCCACCCAGACCATCAGTGACCAACCACCAAACTTCTGAGACACCATACAGGCAGGTTAATGTTCTCATTGGCTCAACACTCTTTTAAATCTGCCACATACTCTCAGGGTGAGGCTGGTATCATCTGTGAGAAGCACAGGACACAAATGGTGGACCTGACAATTCTAGTATTCCAATGACAATCAGACTCTATGGTGGGATTGAACACAGGGTCCACTAGAGAAGTGGTCCCCAACCCCTGGGCCACAGACCGGTACTTTTTATCATTATTTTTCTATCGTTTTTATCGTTAACTCAGTTTACCTGGGTCTTTTCCCGTGTGTTATGAATAAATCTGCTTTTTTGGGGGGGTACCGGTACTGGTTTTATTTTGTAGTATTTATCAGTGACATCTGAAAGGCCAGTCTGTGAAAATAACATCGGACATGAACCAACCCGTGGTGCAAAAACCGCTGCACTAGAGGATGCTGTGTCCTTGGCCATCCTCGTGTAGTCTGTTTCTGATTGTTTAGTCAGAGACATTCGCACCACCTGACCCTAACCAAATCCAAAGCTAGTGAAAAAACAGTCAGAACAGATGAGGAGTGAAAAATGTCAGTGGGCTTCACTTGTGAAACCATTCCTTTTTTGGAGGAGTTCAGTGTTGTCCCTCTAGTGCACCTGTTTTTAATTTCTTTCACACCAAAGCGGAAATGGATAAAACAGCCCCTCTGTTACTTAACTGACCAGATCAATTTCCCAGAAGTTTAAATGACTTCATGCTGTACTCTGATTAAAAGGAAGAAATGATCTGTTTTTGTGTCAAAATGCAGGCAACAAGGTGCCTGAAGATACAGTAGGAATTGTTTAAAAAGTTAAAAAAAAAAGCTCACTGCAGTTAGTCTCATCTGAATGATCCTGGCAGTCAAACTTTCCATCACACTTCCAGTTGCCATGGATACAACCCCCATTCACACACTGGAACTCATGAGTTTGGCATTTATCAGTTACTGAGCCATTCTCTGGCCACTCATCAGACCCATCGTCGAGAGAATGAGATTAGAATAAGAAGAAACATAATACCTCCAGAAAATATTTACTGTCAGTCTCCATTAAAAATGTAATGTGCAGGTTGGCTTTAATGGTAACTATAAAGACATTTTTAAAAACTCACTGCAGTTAGCCTCGTCCGAATAATCCCGGCAGTCGAACCCTCCGTCACACTTCCAGTTGCCAGGGATACAGTCCCCATTTGCACACTGGAACTCGTGAGGTCTGCAGCGAGGCGTCTTCTCTGGCTTTCTTCCACAGTTCTCGGGCCACTCATCAGACCCATCGGTGCAGTCAATGTCTCCATCGCAGATCCACAACGCAGGCACGCACACTGAGTTGTTGCACTGGAAGGAGTGAGGGCTACAGTTGGTTTTGGAACAGGAAACCTCATCTGAGCCATCTGAGCAGTCGTTGTCGTTGTCACAAACAAAGCTCTTGGATATGCACTGGCCATTGGCACAACGAAACTCACGATCTCCACACGGCCTGGCCGCTGTAATGTGATAAGAGAGGGAAATAGGAGTTAATATGGGTATAAAGGTGGAAAACACATCAACAATAACACTTTTAAAATACATTTTTTAACTTATATTAACTAATTTTTTCCTACTGTAATCTACAGGTAAAAAGCACACAATCCCAGTCAAGTCTAGTTTTTCGCATCAGTTACTAAGCTTTCTTATGTAACCTCACTGGTAATTATATTGCAATGCACTGCTGTTATAGTCAGCTTTTCATCCACAGTGCCATTTCTCTGCGACACAATGGTTCACATAGTTATCAACTGCTAAACCATGTCCCAACATGTTGTAGCTTTCATTAGTACCAAAGCAGCTGAAACGGATAAAACAGCCCCTCTGCTACTTAACTGACCAGATCAATTTCCCAGAAGTTTAAATGACTTGATGCTGATCTCTGATTAAAAAGAAGAAATGATCTATTTTTGTGTCAAAATGCAGGTAACAAGGTGCCCAAAGATACAGTAGGAATTGTATTGTTTGAAGAACAGACTTCTTCAAAACAGATTTGAAGAAGTCTGTTCTTCAAATCCCTTTTGAAATATTAATATTATACAATGAACAAAATTCATTCTTGCCAAAAACACTTTCAGTTAGTCGTGTCTTGTTTGTGGATGCTTTAGCATGAACTTTGAGGTCTAGAAAAACTCGGCTCTGGTAGAAAACTCACTGCAGTTTTTCTCATCAGCGCCGTTAGTACAGTCGGCTTTGCCGTCACATTGCCAGTCTTTTGGTATGCACTGGTTCATGGGATTGCTACAGTTGAACTGCGAATCCCAACAGATTTTGACTCCTGAGGAGAGAAACATCAAGCATGACTCATTTCACGTGACCACAGAGAGACACAGCTTGTTGCTACTATCTCATAAAGCTTAACAATCATTTGACTTTGTTAATGTGTTTCCGATTCACTGTGGTGACAGTTTGATCCAAAACTAAATATTTTTCATTTGAATTGTAAGTTAGTGGACTTGCTGTGTTTTTATTGTTTTCTAAATATTAAAGAATTATCAAGAAATTGATCAGTCAAGCATAAAAAAACTCAAGAATCCCAAGTGTAAAGTGTAGCTGTTATGTGATAACATACCGCAGCTAGCGGGCAGCTCGTCAGTTCCATCACCACAATCATCACTTCCATCACAAATCCACCTGCGGGTGATGCACCTCCCATTTCCACACTTAAACTGATTGGCGTTGCATATGTTGGTTGCATCTGTGAAAGACAAAAATCACAACTGGAGTTCACTGTGTTGTGAGGACAAACTGCCACCCTGGTTTACATTCAATATCACCAGATCCTCTTATCAGCACTCATCAATAAGCTCAGACTTTATTGGCCATGTTAAAACCTGTAATCATTCCTCCTAAAAATTGTTATCACTGTGTGTTAGGATGCCTGGGTCGTTGACCCAGGGCTTTTGAGTTTATTATATTATTTATAATTTCTAGTCTTTGGGTTTTCGTGAGTCATGTCTTATGGTTTGTCTCTGTGTAATCCTTGGTTGCTGTCTCCCCTGTCTGCTGTATCCCCGTGTCCAGTCTGTGTCTGCCCTGGTCCCACGTCTCTGTTCCCTCTGTTGTAGTGCCTGCATGTGAGTCTGTGTCTTTTGTTCAGTCTGTGTTTTGTGTTTCCTGTTTTACTTTGAAGGTTTCTGTCTCATCTCAGTGTGTTCAGTTTACGCTTCCTTGTCTCGTCAGTTCTGATTTGCCCCAGCTGTGTTTCCCTCCTGTTGTCCATTCCCTGATTGCTCCCTCTATGTATTTAAGCCCTGTGTTTCAGTTTGTCATTGTCGCGATCTACCGGTTTATTTAGCTGTGTGTTTTTCGGTCCTTCGGTGTAAGTTTATTTTGATATTTCCAGTTATGTTATATTTGAGTTTAAGATTAAAGCGGTTTGAGTTTAAGTTTTGTCTCCGGAGTCTGCACTTTGGGTCCTATTCCTGTCTGCACACAGCCGTTCCTTAACACTGTGCAGTTAATGAATGACTGAAAAATACACACGGGGGAAAAAATTACAACTGAAGGCCACTGAAGTTCAGACAAACAGCGGTGTAAAAAAACCCAAAACATGTTAACAAAGGAAATTTAGTTATTGCTTCACTCAGGAAATTAACAAATTAAGTTATTGACACTGTGTCTCATGTTAGAACTAATCAAAGTGACTTCAATATAAAGTATTTGGACAAAGAATTATTCCCCCGAAGTCATTCACACCAAAGCAGCTGAAAAGAATTCACAATGGTCTCTGCTTTCTGACTGGACAGTCACAATTGCTCAATATTTAATTAATTATTGAGTTATTTATTGAGCAGTATATTTCACTTTTTCACACTGAGTCCTCGGGGATATACCACATGTAGCAGGCTCGATGCAGTGCCATCACCTCAATCATCACTTCTATCACAAATCCACCTGTGGTGGTGCACTCACCTCAAATTCCCATTCTGCAAATGTAGGTGGCATTTATCAACTACACAAATCACAAGTGGAGTCCAGTGTGCCGTGAGGACAAATTGACAATTAACATCACCAGCTTGTTATCAGCAATGATCTCTCCATTCATACCTTGCTGAGCATTTGTAGTAACGTGTTGGACATGTGCAGAAGAGGCATATATAGGAGGATATACTGGACAAAGGATGTTGAAAGTACAGCTGCCAAGCAGGAGGAAAAGAGGAAGACCACAGAGAATATTCATGGAAGTAGTAAAGGAAGACATGCAGAGGGTTTGTGTGATAGAGGAGGTAGGATAAGGTGAAGGCTGATGATCTGCTAGGGGGGCTGATAAAAGAAGCAGCTGAAAGAAGAAGACAACAGTGTGTGGGTATGAAGCTAAACTGTGCCAAATATAACTGTTCCCCATAAAACTATTTGACACTATAAAAGCCAAGCTGGTTAAAGTAGTTCAGCAGTAGTTCATGCAGCAGTTTACAACTTGAAATTAAAAAGTCTGAGTGTGTTTCCGACTTACAGACAAACATCTGTCCTAGAGGGAAAGCTTTTTTCTTTTTTGCATGTAAACAGATGTACTCTTGGTTTTATTGCACATGTAGTTTTATCACACTTCTCCTTTCTGCATATGTTTTAATGAAGCAAATCAAATCTACTACAACACAGGAGGAAAGAAAGAGTTGGTGAAAAGTTCAATTTCTTACCAGTTTCAGACGAACAATGAACAAGTGTCAAAAGACACCAGCAAGCAGACAGTCCTGCGAGTCCCTTACAAATCTTAGACATGTCGTCTTTTATCTTCTTTTTCTTTTTCTTTGACAAGAATAAAAAGATGACTGTGAGCAAAACTATATAGAGAGCCTCAGTCACATGAGTGTTGCACCAATCCCAGCTCTCTCTCTCTCTCTCTCTCTCTCTCTCTGTGTGTGTGTAAACTCTGACAAATACCAATAAATATACCTGTAAGTTTCATAATGTTGCTCACAGAATTAAAATGAGCTTTTGGAAACAAGTTTTTTTTTATTGGCAAGAAGAGTTATTGCTGTAACACGGGCTAATAGGCAAAATATAAAAGAATGTTTTTCTACATTAGCAACAACACCCCCGAGAGTAAAAATTACTTTTTCTTTTATAATCAGAGGTAAACATTCACTCTTC